GGTGGGGTAACGGGTGGGTGGCGTTGGGGTCCTTGGGTTGGCCTTGGGGTCCTTGGGTGGGGTTGGGGGACCTCAGGGTGGTGGTGGAGACCTCAGGATGGTGGGGTGACCCCTGGGTGGGTCCTGGAGTAGTGGTGGGGTCTTTGGGGTGCTGTGGGGGCACCCCAGGGTGCTGGTGGGGTTCTTGAGTTGCTGGTGGGGACTTTGGGGTGGCAGTGGCACCCTGGGGTGCTGGTGGGGTCCTTGGGGTGCTGGGGGAACCCTAGGGTGCTGGTGGGATGCAGGAGGTGCTGGTGGGGTCCTTGGGGTGGTGGGGTACCCCTGGCATGGTCATGGAGTTCTTGGGGTGCTTGTAGGGTGCTGGGGGCACCCCAAGGTGCTGGTGGGGACCTTGGGGTGTTGAGGGCACCCTGGGGTGCTGGTGGCCTCCTTGGGGTGCTGGTGGCCAGGAGAGGTCTGGGGGGTGCTCCTAGGGGCACCCTCACCCAGAGACAAGGTCCCAGCCCCCATGGGTGCCCCCAGCTGCCTTCATCCGGGTGGTGGGCTCGGAGTTCGTGCAGAAGTACCTGGGGGAGGGTCCCCGCATGGTGCGCGACGTCTTCCGCTTGGCCAAGGAGAACGCCCCCGCCATCATCTTCATCGACGAGATCGACGCCATCGCCACCAAGCGCTTCGACGCCCAGACAGGGGGTGAGGGGACATGGGGAACCTGGGGCGGGGGGGGAGGTGAGGGCACCTCTTGGTGGCCATTGGGGCTTGGGTGGGGGTCAGGAACCCTCTGGAGAACCCCCTGGTGGGGTTTGGGGACCCCTTGGTGGTTCTTGGGGCTTGGGTGGGGGTCAGGGAGCCCCTGGAGAACCCCTTGGTGGGGTTTGGAGACCCCTTGGTGGCCCCTGGTCCTTGGAGCTGGGGTTGGGGGGGTCAGGAACCCTCTGGAGAACCCCCTGGTGGGGTTTGGGGACCCCTTGGTGCCCCTCGGGTCTTGGGTGGGGGTCAGGACCCTTCTGGAGAACCCCTTGGTGGGGTTTGGGGACCCCTTGGTGGTTCTTGGGGCTTGGGGGGGGGGCAGGAACCCTCTGGAGAACCCCTTGGGGGGGGTTGGG